TAGTGTTATAAGATAGGGAATTTCCTAAAATGTACCGACTTTCAAAGGCTTGCATTCGGTAACCCCATTAAAAATCGTGTCAAACCTTAGATATTCCAATGTAAATTTGGCCGTTCTTTTCATTTATATGGGTTTTCACTTATGAAAATGTCTCAATTATGTGTAAAATAACGATTTGCCCCAGTTTTTATTTCGGAAATTTGCACTAGACAGGGAGTCAGCTGATTCACTCAACCGTAACGAGACACAGCCAACTGATGAGAATGGTTGTCGCGAGCGGAAAATTGAAAAATTAGGACTGGCGAAAATATTCAATAACAATACAGTAATATAATAAGTCGAAGGCATTTTTGAAGAATCAATCTTTCAAAAAGATATGTTTGCTGGTTTGGATAAGGAAGTCTTGGAAGTGCTGATCTTAATAGTGGCGTTAAATAGGTTTGTTTAATACCAACTTGTCTTACCTGTGTAGGCATAGCCTAGCATTTAGTGCAGTACTGTATGTATGTACGGAATGTACTACTCTACTGCCTGGCGCGGCCTAGTCCCCCCTAGTTTAGGCCTAGCATACAAACTATAAAAATAATATTTTAAACATTAGAGGCAAACAAACAACACTATTTTAAATAAAGTACATTAATTTACATGTTAATTATTAGATCCATGGAACTATCTAGGATCGACTACTACTACTACTACAGCATTACTAAAATGCCAGTTTATTCGTCGTGGAATGTGGATGATACCTTGAAAACTAGCTCAAATTTGCGTGGAAAATGGCTTGGAAAAATGTGCAGAGATACATTGGCAATGGTTATATACAGTATAGTTCAAAGACTAATTTTCGGCATTCTGCTCGGAAATACAACCACCTGTACTAGGCATTTCCCTGCTGGTTCCATGCTGGATCAAAAACTAGTAGAGGGTCAAATGTCCAGCCATTTTGATGGTCAAAATACAGGGGCATTATTATTATTGTACATTAGAAAAGGTTGAGAATCAAGATAGTCTATGGTACATATATTGTTATTGTCTTCATTTTTAAACTAATTTTTATATTACAAAAAAGTATTATATTAATGAAGTAATAAATTCTATTCAAAATAATTAGGTCGCAGCTATGTTATACTACTTTGCAATGCATTTGAATATGGGCTTTTCACAGTGATGGTTAATTAGAATACAGTATATACATTTTCAACAAAAATTATCATTGATGATTAGTGCCAGAATGATTACTTCCTTATAAAGATATTGTACTGTAATATCAATACTAATTATTTTTGAATGGTGTAAGAATAGTCACTCTTGATTTTTTTTAACTAGTCTGTTCAAACTTTTTATTGTACTTCTCTTCTTACAGGAAATGCCGACATGATGGATATCGATGGCTTTCATGTGGTAGTATTTTAATAGGCTAAAGAAATCTGACAGAAGGGTCATCCCATCTTGCACTGTGTGGGCGATTAGGGACAAGTTCCCAGAAGCTGTGAAGACTGCCTGGGTTTTTTGATGCTATAGAAGATGATGAAGTAATTATTTATAAATTGTTATGGAAGATACCTGATAAGTCCATCCTCATTAATGCAACAGATCTTATGTAATAGATTCATTCTTGAAAATTGTGACAACTATGCTCTGTTTTTTTGACAATTTCATCACTCATGAAAGGAAATTTTGTCCGCATAGGCCTAGAGCTTTTGTATATCTGGACCAGTCAATTGTGTGTAATCTTCCAGACCTAGTCTGTAATTGAAATTGTTGCTATTGATTCGGATATGCCAGCAAAGTTGATTTCAAGAACATTTTGTTAAGTACAGTACAATGTTTTTTGTATCTTCCCCACTCTCGTCTCATATTTTAAAATTTTAAGCTAATACTGTACAGTATATAAATGTAACTTGTTCTTTCCTATTCTTTACATTGGTATAAACTACAGTAACTATAAATCCATATATTTAATATTTTGATAATAAATAGAGTGTGTAAAATGCAGTGATATATATTGTAATTACCTAACTGCTTCAATGTTGCTTTATTCTGTGTACA